AAAGCATAAGAAAAGAAATCTTAATAAAATAATCCAAAACGAATATGAAGCTAGTTTATAGTTTAGTTTTCTCTGTTTACTTAACTTTTATCTTATTTAGAAATCAACACATAATTAATTGTTTTCCACGTTTAAATATAGTTTTTTCCTCAGTGTCTTAGATGTGCTAAAATAAATTTCCGCCCCTGTTTCTGGAAAGATTTCCCTCCGGCTAGGGCGCCCTCTGACTTTTCACTTTGATCGACGGCCGGACAGCCTTCAATGGAAATTGATGACGCCACACCTCGTCTGCCCTCCCCGATGGCGTTGTAAGATTGGGAGGTGTGTTCCTCCGTTCATGTTCATTTTCATGTGCTGCCGCCCGCCGCATATAGTTTCTTGAACAATAAAAACTGTTTTGTCTTCGATAAACAGAAGCGTGCTGGAGAGCGGAGGAGCATGGCCGTGCATGCCGGCGATCTATAAAAATAGACAGGCAAACAAACAAATCGATGCCTGAATGGAGCGACGCTCGTGTCTTTCGGCACATATAAAAATACGCCATGATCTTATGGCTGACCTTACACATTTGCAGCACCTGGCCAACTTGACCAACCTGTGCTGGTTGGCAGCTTAGTAACGAGGAAATACGGAGGAAACTTGGCTAACAGGGATGACAGTTTTCGATTTATCTAAATAATTTTCTTTAAGTTCGGTTAAGAATTTCTTGGTAGATCCAATGTTCTAACTCTGTTATTTCTTACGAGCATGCGAATGAAAAAAATGTAGAATTCATTAATATTAAATCATTTATGTATCTCTTTATGTATGTCTTAAAATTGGTATTCTTTGCTATCTACTTTAAACATATTGCAAGCCAGTTAATTAATATTTATTTACTCAAACTCAAGACACTAAGCCCTAAACCCTAAAGATTTGAAAAACTTAAGAATACTTAACCGGAAAGTACCAGAGAAACTTTTAAAAAGAAAGTACAATTCCTTGATTTTTCTTTTAATATTTAATATTTATATTTGCTAATAATAAAATATTTAATTTGATCAGCACTATTGGCAAAACGGCAATGAGCCAATCATGAAACACGGAAATCCTAGCGGAAAACAAAACAAGAGCCTCGCCAGGAAGAAGGGAAAGCGATTTGATTGAATTGCCACAATTAGAAAGATTTCCAGATTTGCTCGCCTTGTTTGAGTTTGTTTTGGTTGCGGTTTTAGCCGCTTCCCGAACTCGTGGATGTTTACACGGATGCCACGGATGGCTCCATTCCCCTACGGTTAAATATTTGATGAACTAAAGTGGAAAATTTCTATCAACAAAAACGGGCCAAAGTGCAGGAAAACCCAAGAAATCAAGTGGCTGAGTGCTGCTGGACTCCTTAAAGCGGAATCTCGCTGGATTCCTTTCATGTTTTCTTTTTTTTTTGGGTTTCTTGTTTTTGGACTCTTCCGAGAGATATTTAAGCCGGGCCACGCCCCTCCGGTCAGCGTGACAGATGAGAAATAGCAGTATTTCCTGGGCCAGTGGCCAAATCGATTCGGACTCGCTTTGGCCTGCAGCAATGCCGCACTTACAGCACACAACCTAAAATAGCAAACGCTTTTTGGCTGCCCCAAATTACAAACGCACATGGATATGGAATATAAATCTGTGTGGTATCTCGTAACGGAGTGAGTACAGTGAGAGAAATTTCTTTTATATTTATGATATAAAAATATTTTCAAATGAGAATGAAGTAAAAGAAACTGCGGTTGGTTTGCTAACTATTGGTCAAATTACCGTAATTATTGTGGTTGGACATAAACTTATAAGAAGCTCTGTACTCAATATAGCATAAGATTACGGGACCCACTATTTAACAAATGGAATAGCCCAAGTAAACTGTAAGCTTTATATGGTTATCTCTTTCTTTCATATGCATTAGCATAAGAGATCGAATGCGTGTACATACATCTGTCTCGCTGACGGAGGAGCGGGGATAAGGAAAAAAGGAATTACAGATTGGCGCTTAGCAAGAGCGGTTAAGGAGAGAGAGAGTTGTTGTAGAGGGAGAGCGGTTAAAATAAAGTAATTATTAGAAAAGTATTAACGTATTTAACCTGTTATATTATACTTTTTGTATATCGAAACTAATAAGGGGAATTACTAAATCTCTTTTATTACAAACATCAAACTGAAAGTTTACAATAAACAAATTAATGCGAAGAATATAAACCAGGAAAGTAATAAAACTGTAAACAAAAACGGAAAAAACGAAACAGTGGGCTAAGAAATATTATATATTTTTAATATATATTAAAGTTTTAATTAAGCAAATGTAAAGGTTTCAAGATAACTTCTTATATAAATCATTTTGCAAATCTAACATTATAAATCATAAGCTTTTTATTTATTTTCTCAGTGCAGCGTACAGCGTTCAGCGTACTGCGAACAGCATATAGCACTCACCACCCGGTCGGCCTCTGACGTCAGAGCGAGCCCCTTTCGACCGCAGCGAAAATGGCCATTGAAATGTTGACGTCGATGGCGTTGCGAGTAACGGATTTGTCTCTGCCCTGTTATTGTTTAACTCACAGATACTATTGTCAGTGTGTGTGTATGGGTATCTGTGCGGTTTATTGACATTCAACGTGGCCAGTGTGTGTATTTGTTTTGGTCAGAGCCAGAGATAGATGAAAAATTGATTGTGCTTCACCTCAACAATTTTTGGCAAGCTGAAAAAATACGTCCAGTGCGCTCAGGCAGTCGTCATTCATGTGTGTCAATTAAGGGTTCTCGGCTATTGAACAATGCACCCACCATACGTCATCATCATCATCATGATGATAGTCATCATTATTGGCTTCGTCATCGTCATCAGGCTCTCCTCACTCAAAAGTAGGCTGGCTGGGTGTATCATCCTCGGGTTGCCACTGGCGACAGTTGGCCAATATTGAGATGGAATGCCTGACACATGTAACAAATTTCAAGCACTCGCAACTCGAATAAATCAAAGACATGACAAAATATTGAAGGCACTTTGTCGCTTAATTGGAGTGCCACGCGTTCGAAGAGACAAAGGCAATCTGACTGAATGAGAAAAAAAAAGAAAACCAAATGCAAAGACGAAGGCAACGTTGACTGGCACATTTGACAGGCTAAATGCGAATGACAACTGTGGGTGGATGCGGATGCTTCCGGAGAACCGATATCTGACATGGATCAAGAAAATCACCCATGGAAAGCAAATAAAAGTCTACGTGGTTTCTATAAATGTTTAACATGGATTTGCATTTCAAATTAGATACGAGTTTTATGATATTCTCCATGAATGATTTATATATTTGTTTAATTAGATGTTAACATACATGGGATTGAATGTTACTCTTTGTAAAAATGTTGCTTATTATTACAGACACAGTTGCAGCCATGAAAATCTGAACTTAAGTTTGCAAGTCAAGTTAACCACTTAAGTAATCGTTTACTGTATGAAATCTGTAATGCAAGGCTAGCACTTCTCAGTATAATTTGGAGTTAAGATAAAAATATTACTTGAATAGAATTCTTCACTTTTTTGACATAAGGATATGTTCTGCTGACACGCAATTGTCCTAAATTTCGTAAGGATACTACGTCGTGTGGCCATTTTGGCTCACATACTCCCGATTGCAGGACGATTTTTTACAGCACGTTAACCCTGAATGGCACATCCCGAATCGGACTTTGGATTAGAAGCGTCCTTGTGGGCCGCCCATTTGCGAGGACTCCCACAGCACTTGCCTCACAAAGGACACCCACTCCTGTCCCCAGCAAACACACACTCACGCACTCAGTCACTCACACATACTTGTCGGGCCTGTCAGACGCCATTATCACATATTGCCGTCACTTTGTGTTCGCCAATGCCGCTGTATTTGTGGCCGTAATGCGCAAATACTCGTATGCCAAAGGTCCTGGGTCTGGTTTTGGACTGGTCCTGGTCCGAGCTGGAGTCCTTACTCGCATAGTCGCATATCCGCATCTGGGACATATGCAAATGGTAAATGGTAAATGCTAAATGGTAGATGGCAAATGGGCAAAGGCAAATGCCAAGTCGGTCAAATCGTTTTCGCACATGAGCCTTATTTGCATCTCATTAACATCCGGAGCTCCAACAATGGCCGCCGTGTCATTTCCGCTGCCATTTCCATTTCTATTTCTATTTCTACAAATATTTCTATTTCTATTTCCGCTTTTCAATATGCCAAGGGTCGGATAATTATCGCACTAAAAATGGCATATCTGTGAGTGTGTGTGTGTGGGCCACGCCTAATGAGCATGTCCTTAAATGATTGACATGTGATGACTGTTCGCTTGTGAGTGTGTGTATGCTAGCGCGGGGTAGTTAATGTCAGATATTTTGATAAATTGTTTTACGACCATAATTTGTGCAACTTTTATCGCCTTTTTTTGTAATGGCTTTCCTATTAGTGTTTTATGCGCCGTAAAAGTAGCTCCACATTCATCATTATGCTGATAGTTGATAGAAGTGGCAACAAAATTAAATTAAATTATTTACACGGCTCTCGACGGGCGCCTTTTGCATTTTATGACAGCGCAAACAGGCCGCACTCTTATTTATTCAACATTCTGTTGAACACGCGCTCAAATAATTTATGTTTGGCATAACCTTTGGGGCCAAACAAGGGTTAACAGCCATGTCCCAGACAGCAACAGAAACAGATACAGATACGGATACATATTTAGATACAGTTAAACTGAAAGAACAGCTTATGAGCTTTGATCTAAGAACCTTTTCGTTCTCAAAGAGTTTATCTTTGCATAATATTTGTAAGTTTATTTCTTAGGAAATCCATTTCGGACATTTGAAAGTTGTTAAATAAATAGCTATTTCAAGGGGCATTTTCTCACTGTGTACAGCTACGAGATACGAGAGTTATGTTCTCTGGGGATTGGGGGACTGTTTACATTTTGATGAGCCCCAAAGAAGCGAATTATTTGACTATTTATACGTGTTTACATACCTTTCTGCTGCTGCTTTTTCCGTGGCTCTTCAATAGAAAGGGACGGCGACAGGGTAGCGTGCCGGAAAGAGACGGGAGATGGGCTGGCTGCTACTCGAGTTTAGTGCATGCTGCAAAAGAAATTAGCAAACAAAAAGTCAGCGGAAGTTGTGAGGAAATCTTAACGGCAAACATCAGATAAGGCTGAGTAAACACCTAATGTTTGTCCTCGTAAATATTTTCCTCTTCTCATTCAATCGCTTTTTCATCAGAAATTAAACTAAACTAATAAGTGCTTTAAGTCACACATTAAATGCTTAATTCAACGAATTTACATTTAATCAAGCCACTCAACTTGGCCAACAAAATAGTGGCAAAACTGGCTTTGTTTATGCAGTGCTTTCTTGGCCAAAACTCCTGAAGCGGTGATTGTGTCTTGTGAAGTTTGCCTCTGAGTCCCACAATTTGCTCTGCAATAAATTTATCTTAATATCCCAGCGATGTGGAAGTTTCGGTCGTCTGAGCGCATTTTTCATTCTAATGGAGTCGTCTGCAGAATGCAAGGAAAACTTTTCTCCTTTGCACCACCGCAAACAATGCCAAATTATATATGTATATATAGGTAACATATGTGTGCTACAGTTGGGGATCGAAAAATAGCAGCAATGTTGCTTAAAACCTTTCTCAATATAGAAATTACCAAGTAGATTCTTTCTTAGCTTTATTGGAGTTTAAAAAGGGTAATCTTTTCGATGTTTTAGTTTATATCATATCTCTCAGTTGAAGGAGCTATTATTATAGCCACAACTGTTCGTAAAGTATATATAAACTATATATATGCCCCTGCCATTACGTTCTGTGTCCCGTGGAACACATGTTAAACATTGCGAATAGTGCAAAACTTTGACATCAAAGTTTGTTGCTCAAATAATTTGTGTGTTGTTCAATGTGTGAAATTGAAATTATTTCGGCTCGAAACCCCTAAAGAGCCCCGGCCGAATGGGGAATGTTGGTGTTTTAATCAAGTTTGTAGGAAGTTCATTAGCACACCACTCACAGTACGTATGCGTAATGTGCCTGGCTGCCTGAATCTGTTCAATAGTAAAGTCGAACTTCGATTAGCCGCCGCACTTGGGCTGGGCGATAAGTCGCTGCCATTAAATGCTCGTTAGTAGTCATTGCCATATCTATATATATATGTAGTATTTGGCGAATTATCAGCAAGCGTTTCGTTTGCCTCGCTGCTCCTCTAATCAGCGCTGGGCAAACAAAAACTGACATGAATGAAATTTACAGAGAACCGAATGGCTCTTTTTCGTTGCGGCCATTACACTGGTTAACATAGAGATAGTAAAACTTAAATGATATAGACTAGGTATATATTCTTATTAAGAAATCTTTATAAGATTTTCAAATAATATAATTTCTCTATCAAATGCCAAAAATTCTTTAAAAAATGTTCAATGACCTTGACTTTTCATAGAAGACGAAAGAGAATATATAACAATATATATACGTAGCTTTTTTCAATGGAAATTCAAGGCCATAGAACTTGGCTAATATTGTGTATGCCTGAACTTGGCTTAACAACAAATTTTAAAGTAATTTCTCATTGTAAGCACAGGCATTGTTATGGTAAACTTTGTTGCCTAGTGTTGTGAGCTGTGCCGCGTATCTTCTTTGCGTATCGCGTATCTCACCGCGGGCGAGGAAAACTGGGTTGGGAAACCGGAGGAGGAGGAAAAGCGGGCGGGCAGACTTCAATGCGAACGCCACGCCCCTGGGCAAAATGCTTGCCTCACTGATTTGCGTGCAGCAACACACAGTAAGAACAACAAAAAATGAAATAATAAAAAACAAGACTGGGTGTGGGCACTCGGATATTTGGGATACTTGGGTGCTGTGTCACATTTCTGTTGCGAGCTTCATGCTATTTTTGCCATTTTGTTTGCTTTGCTGGCTGTGCGACGCTGCGGCTTATCACATAATTTGAATAAAGTAGCTGCAATCTTGTGTCAGTTTATCGCAAATTAGACGGACAACGAACAGCGGCAGGGGCGCAGATAAAAACATCAGCTAAATAGTAGTAGCAGCCCGACAAATTGTCTATACGAGCCAGGAGATTTGGCCAAGTGTGTAGTTTGAAGTTGAGTTGAACAAAAAGGAGAAAACTTTAATAAAACGAGATACATTCAGCATACGCCCTGGCGTCTGATGCACTTTTTGCCCCCCAATTTGTTTACTTTGTGCTGCAAAATCAAATTATGCACGTGGGCGCCAGGTGAGAGTTGAGTCGAGTTGAGGCTGCAAAGGGGTAGCTGGGGGATGATGAAATGAATGGGCAAAAATAATTGAATCAGAAGCAAATTGCAGGACATGTCGCCCGCCAGCCTGCTGGCAACCGTCTGCTCCGTTTTCCCATGTCACGGATGTTGCCTCGCTCTTCCTCTCTGCTCCTTTTTCCGGACGTGGAGCAAATTGCTTGACACTTTTAATTATGGAAATTGACTAACGCTCTGATGGGTCGCGAGGAAATGTATGTATATGAATATAAAATATGATGGAAATGCGGAGCATAAGTTAAGCAGTCACCATTCCGTCAGTTTTCCCTTCCATCCTGTCCTTCCGCCTTCGAAAGCGTCCATTTAAATCCGTTTAAATGTGAAGACATTAACGGCTCTGCCATTGGCAATGAAAACAGCTAATATGGCCCATAAACTAAAATAAATCGAAACTGTTTTGAAGCGAAATAAAACGATTTTTGGCCCGGCATGAAGCAATCATTAAACCAACAGAATTGGGCATCTGCCTGGACAATGCCAGAAATACGCAATCGAAATTTCCCCGAACTGCGAAAAGCGCGTTTAATTGGAAAGTCGTTTTTCCTTCTAGCCGTGAAAAGCTAATGAAAAAGGGGAATCAAAACGAATATTCAGCGCCACCCGAATTATGGCCTCAGCCCAATAATTGTTGTTACGTGCAGAGAGAGAAATTTTATGAAATTCTTTATATATTAATAAATACCAAAATAAATAAATAATTATTTATAAAAATGTATGTAGAATTTTTTAAGAATTTGTAAAAAAAAACTTGAAACAATGAAGAGGCAAATCCGACCGACGGATATTTTAAGAGCCGCCAACAAAAATGTAAGTTTGACTTTCGCCTTTAACTTGCTTAAAAACAGAATAAATAAACATCATTTCAAAATTATTTTGACATATTTAAAGATGGAAAACCATCAACATTGTATATTTCTCTCTCTGCATGCCATTTTCGCCCGCAAAGGAATCCCTCTGGCTTCTGCGAGTTTCGCGGAAATATGTGGGAAAACATTTGCCTGTCAACGGGGTCATAATCGAACATGGTAGTATATGTACTCGGAAGGAAAAAGGGGCAGAGGGGGAGTTAGGAATGGATACAAGCACATTTGGTAATTGCACCTCGGGATGCTTAACATGATGCACTGAGGCACCGAAGCACCGAGACCGGGAAATATTAAGTGTGCCGCTGGCGAAGTGATGGCGGCCATTATTTATTTACATTTACATTTTCCGCTCCCGGTTCTTTATGTCATCATCGTTGGCCCGCCGCCTGGCTTTCCATCGGCATTTTCGCCGAGTGTTTACTTTTGCCCGCTGATTGCTGCTCTTTTCGTATATTTCCCACTTTTCTCGCTGATGAAATGAATTTTCCGAACATCCCGAGAAAGGTGTCTGGAAATTTACATATTCCGGGCCAGAAACTTGTTCGCACTTTGCAGCCTTTGGTTAATTTGAGGGCATCGCACACACACACACACACACCTTTGCTCACCTTTTTCCTGCCTTTTGCTGTTGGTTTTCCTTAGTTTTCCTGGGTTTCCTTTGGCGTGGTATTAATTCAATACTGCAGCCGAGGACCTTCTGCTGTTGTGGCACTTTTCACTAGCATATTTTGCTGCGCAGTTGGACGCGTGTAATTGTAATTTATTCACGCTTCTGTACGGCACTCGGAAAATGTTTAACAGTTTCTGTTTACACTCACTTTGATGTCATTTACTTGGTGTTTTTCCTCTTAATATCTATATCTTTGCCCAGATGCAGAGATAAAACATTTTGTGTTTTTCTCTAAGTTTTATGATTTGTTATGATTTTCTATTATTGTTGTTACTTTTTTTTTGTTTATTTTTTATGTTTACTACAAAAATATATATGGTTTGTTTTGGGGCTTTCCTTTGGCTTATTAACTGAAGAGCGTTTGCTGAGATTGGGGGATTTTTAAGATTTTTCCGCTAGATGCGATCGCCGGTACGTCCACTAACGAAGTGAGGGCTGCGTCCGTTGGGGCTTCCTTATATACAGCGCTTCGCTCTGCTCTTTCAAATGCTCTTTCTCTCTCTCTCTCTGGTTTTACTTTCTCCCTGTTATCAGTGGCGCCACTCTTTGCCCTCAAATCTCTTCAACAGCTGAGCGGCTCTCTTAGCTGCTTTCAGAGGGCGCCAAGTAAGTTGCATTTTCTTATCAGCAGCTCTCGATGCTCGTGACGTCACTTGCGAACCACTTGCCCAATTGCACGTGTTAAGTATATATATATATATATATAGAGAGAGAGTTATATACAGTACATAATGGTCTTGGGTGCTTTTTGTGACTCCGTGGCCATAAATTAGCAAATAACCTTTGTTCTTGGCCAGATTTTAGCTCTTCTTGTTTATTTACACTTTTCTCTCCTTCAGTGGTTTTTGCTCTCTCCCTCGGTTGGTCGTTTTGCCATGTTATTGTTATTGTCGTGCCTTTAGCATCTGGACTCTCTGTTGATTTATCTGAAAATATGTTATCTTAGAATGGCGCATAACTTAAACTCCCGCCGGGTTTTCCCTCCGCCTCCTCCTTCCCCTCTGGGAATTTAATTTAAATAAATGCTTACAAGAAAAGTTTCGTTTGGAGAATAAGCTTATGTATGTACCTTCTTCTGGTCCACTCGATAAGTAGCGCTAGACTTTAGACAAAGTTTCGGCATCTTCAAATTACAAAACTTTATTCTCGACTATGTTTAATTATTTCGCAATTATACTGAGTTCGTTTCTGAGTGTTCGTTTCTGTTGGGGGCAGCGAATGGTGAAAGCTAAATAACTGCATGATTTGGGCAGTAAAATATTTATTTTATTTATTTTTAATATTTAGGGTGTGAATTTATCACAGTAAAGATCTAAACTGATACAGCTAAGTATTCAAATAAATTAAAATGTTAAATGTTAACTTAATATTTTGTAATTCTTGCCTACCTTTTACTCTTAAGGACTTTAAAGGAATAAAAAAGTGTATTTAAATTATTAATTAACTCCTTAAAAAAGCGTTTTTAAAGGGTTAGCAAAGCACTTCTGTAATTCATTAATAATTATTATTATTATTTAATTATTTTAAAACTCAAATTTAAAGCTCGTTAAATGACTCACATTTCATGTTCACTGCCTCCCGAGGCATTAATTTAAAAATCAGAAACAATATACTGGATGTAAGAAAATCAATTATTTTGCGCTTGGCCTGTCGATGCCATCATAAAAATCCCTGTGAAGCGTAAAGCGAACCATATGAAGCATAGATTAAGCCCGAGTCGGCCATGAAAATTGCTTATGTACTGCCGAAAACGTACTTCCTCGCCGTTCCTTTGCTCCGGATCCGGATCTACGCATAAAAATTCGCGTCAATTTTCCTGAGTTTTACAGCAGATTGCCACTTCTCGTTGCCCCCAACTCGCATTTGGGTTTTCTACAGGCAGTCCAGAGTCCTGTTACACACACACACACACACATAGACACGCATATACATATAAACCAACACTCGCGCAATCAGTGAGATGGGCATGCAAAAGCGTTGCCATTTTATCGTTGCCTACTTTCAGGCAGCCGCCATCAAGCTGTGCCAGAAATTGGAACTCTTCGTCCTCCAGGTCCACACCCACTTGCCCACTTCCTCCGCCCACCGAGTCCCCTTTTATTTTTAGCAGTAGCATAATTTTTTATTGATTGGATTTCAGTGAAAATCACTTCCGGCGATAAATTTGTTATGCAGGCAACGATTCCGTTCGGTTATGTCCTGGCTTTCAGTTCCTTTTTGACTTGCCAAAAAAAAAAAAAAAAAATACAGAAAACCGAAAAAAGAACAAAAAACAAGGAAAACAGGAAGAACTTTTCATGCTGGCGATGGAATATTCTCCAACCCGCCTGACATTTTACAGGAATATACTGTGTGTTTTGATTTATTTTACTTCTGCGTCAATGTCAATCGTATCTGCAGACTTCAAGGGGGATATCCTTGCTTGTTTAACTCGGAATTTGTTTGTTTGGCTTTCCTTGCCCTGCCTTAGCCCCCCTGCACTAATGGCCGATGGGGGTTGGCAAATGGGAATGGAAATGGCAAATGGCTACGGAGTATTGACAAAGAAAATTTGCACACTGTTTGCCTTACATTACATGTGAGTCGGTCGGTCGGTCGGTTGGAAGGGGGAGGGATGGGTTGGCAGAAGAAAAGCCTTTGGGGCAAATCAAATACAAACACAATTCCCCACAAATTACTGCAAAATGTTATCAAAAAGCCAGCGAATGCTGGCTGGTAATTTAATATTTCAATTCCAAGCTCCATGGGGTCATTGATCCCCGATGATGTCCTGGCAACCAGTAACGGGGCTTTGAGGATAAACATTAAGCATTGGGCGGCGTAAAATCGTGGCAAATGAACCACTAAAGACACGTCCATAACAACAGCTGCTGACCGACACACACACACACACACACACACACTCACACGCATATCAAAACAAAGAAAAAACTGCCCGAGGACGATGGTTTATCCTTAAGAGAACCGTGACGTCACATATCCTTTGCCAAGAGATGCTCTACAAGAAGTAAAGAGAGACTTCTTGAGGAGACTTCAAAGCGCCTGCGCCGAGCAAGGACTCTTTTTGGACTTCCGGCTAGCGCAGCGACCATATGACATCATTGAAAACAAACCCCGAGCTTTGGTAATGAAATTATGCGTTTTTTTTCTGCCATTTTTGTCACCGCCTTGGGCTTTGCGTGTGTAGTGTGTCGGTGTGAATAGTTTTTGGCTTCTGGTGTGGCGCCTATGGGAGCGCTGACGTCACTGCTGCCATTGCTGCCGCTGCCTGTGCACTCGAATGTAAAATTGGCAAATAAATAGGATTTGATATTTAACGTTTCGCTGCAAGGAAGCCATGCGCAGACGATGGTGACATAAGACCAAGCAGCCAAACAAAATTCCTTTACTAACTGCAGTGCTGGCTTTTGGTTTTTGGGTGAGAGATATCTGGCTAAGGAGGCAATAATAATGACAATGGGGAAATAATTGGATTGGAATTAAGATTGATTAAGTGATTAATCTCAATTAATATGTCTAAAATTTGTGGAAACGGTAACGCTTCCTGCAATTCCTGTAATTTTTAATATATTTTTTAATTAATAATTAATTTGAATTAGAAGGGCTGATAAGACTCTGACTTACTTACTTGATATATTACTACCACATTTCAGGGTTATTAAGAAAGACCTAAACGGCCTACTTACTTTTATGTTAAGTAAATATCGGAATACTATATATATAAAGAATTAGACCATATTCAACAAAAAAAAAGAAGATATTTCCTTTAAAAAATATTATTTCATATTTTAACTTATTCTTGCTGATTTACTTTTAAACCTAAAAAAAAAAGCTAAAATGCCAGCACTCTTCAGGTGGACTGCTGACCGTTGGATGGCCAAAGGTCACCAGAGGAAGACAATGACATTTCGTTGGCCTAATTGAATCATGAGCACGTGCAACATTTCCCGGCTTATGCGACTTTTCAATCACTGCCATGCCCCAAGATGAAAAGGAAGCAAATTTCGCCAAACCGCACTCGAGTTGTTGGCCATTTGGTTTGTTATTGTTTTATGCGCTATTACTTCCACTTTGATGAAGGGCCCGGCCCGAAGGATGCTGCACTCAATGCGCCGTTACATACCCCCCCAACAAACCACCCCCTTTGGGTCCTTAATTCAGTGACGTCAATGGCTAAATGACTGAGTGGCCAAATAGCAGGGTGTTGCCATTTTTATGGACACGCCTGTGAGTGCGGTTAAGCGGCGAGACGTTGAGCCATTAATTCGAAGCATACTTTCGGGCGCTCTTTAAAACTGCCAGCTGGCAAATGAATAGCTTAAAGGTTACCTTTTTGGCCATAAACGGAAGTCAATAACCAGACATTAAGTAGCTTGACAGAACAGCCAAATCTTTTAAAATTAAATAAAATTTAGAAAAGAATTATTTTTAGCAAGCTCGATAGAAAAGGCTTTTTAAGTGCGCCTATTTCAGTGGGAAACCTTAATGTGAATAGGAAGATTGATGAGGCTGTGGAAAATTCCTCGTTTCTATTTATACTGTGACTAAATTTTCCCTTCTATTGCCTTTAAGTTTTCGTTGAACAACGTTTTGAATTTATATATTTATTCGATAATAGAAATAATTTTATGGATATAAATGGCTATGACTAAACGGATATAGTTTTTTCAAAAACTATAGGCATAAAGATATTTTTACCAAAATAAGAGTATTTTAAAATTTTATACTTGTATTTTCTAAATTGAGCCAGGCAAAAATTTAATTCTTAAATTCTTTGCAACTGGATACTTTTTAAAATTTTTTTAAAACTATATTTGATACTTATAAAGTGTATTTTCTTTTAAGTTACAGTAAATTATTCAAATTCTAGAATATAGCTTAGGTTCTCACTCAAGTTTTGCTTGTAACAGACTTTAATGGGGATAATTTCATTGCCTTAAAGAAGCTTTATCAAGCTTTATTAAGTGAGTTAATAAATAATGTTGCAGAATAAAGGAATTTCAAATAAACTTGAAACATTTCTTAATGTCTAGAAGTTTCAAGTCTCAATCAACATTACTGTTAGGGCACAAAAGTATGCTATGAATTCTGCGAAGCTGCGAATACCGTTTATCGTGATCGCAGCAATAATCCCACATAGCTAAACAATACCAACAACAACAACAACAAGAGCAACAGCAACAACAACAACGAGAAGCAACCGACTGACCGACTCAGGCAAACTCTTCGCCTTGTCTTCGCATCGCTCAGTTTCTTTCAGCCAGTCGTTCGCTTCGGTTGTTGGTTGTCGGATGTCGGTTGTCGGTTGTCCGTTGCATGTTGCATGTTGTCGGTGGGTTGTCGCAGGTTGCCGCTGCGTTTGTTCCGCCCTGCGCGCAGACTCCGTGCGACTGACTGCAAGGTGCACTCAAATTAAGAAGTGCCGCAGCGGCCGAAAAAACACTCCACTTTTGCTATTCTGACACAATTTCGCGGCGAATCAGCAATAAAAAAGGGAGGGGGGAAAAGACTGCAAAAAAAAAGCGAAAAAAAAGAGCGAAAAGTGTGTGTAAAAAAAAAATAAATGTGCATTCAACAACAACAATAGCGGAGAAAAGTGAGGAAAGAAACCGAAGGAGGCAGAAATTGGAAATAAACAAAAAGAAATTGCATAAGCTGGATTTTGGCGTGCGCTTTGCTCATCTTCTGGCCCGCCGCTGCCGCCGCCGCCGCTGCTGCTGCTGCTGCAATATTTGAGTGGCTTCTGTTGTTTTTTGTGCCTGTTTTTCTCATCCCAGCGAGAAAACGCGAGATAAAACTGAAAAGCTAAAAAACTAAGAAACACAAACTAAAATAAAACAAAAACATAGAGACGGAGACTTAAACTCAGTGGCGGCTTTTTACACACATTTTAATCAACTCCGCTGGGCGGCTTGACCATTTGACTTTTTTCGAACAAGTTTGCAGTCAAGTTTGGGGCTCTCTCTGTGTGCGTTTTCGGCAATTAAAACCCATTAATGCAATTGTTGCTAACCAATTTCCATAGTCATATGTTTGTGTGTGTGTACGGTGTGTGTGTGCGCGCCTTTTAGCCGTTAAACATTTATGCAACTCGGCCGAAAGCAGCAACAACAACAACAACAACAACAACAGCAGCAGCATCTAGCCAAGGGACGTTCGCCATCCGCAATTGAAGTCCGTGCGAGGTGAGGCAATTAACATAAACCAATTACAGCTAATTACAATTAAACAAATTAGTCGCCGCAAATCGTGAGCCGAGAATCGTCGCTGCTCGTTGTGTCATTAAACCGATATGGAATTTGCATAAATTAGATAAGGATTAACAGCAAATAGAACAGAAACCCAGACGCGGGCCAAAAGCCGATATAGAATTTTTCTTTTTTTTTTTTATATATTATCCTGGCCTTTAATGACCCTCGTAAAAAGAGACCAGCAAAAAATAATAGAAATTAGAAACTAAAAGTGGTGGTAAATTGGTGCACTTATGTAAATACTCTGTATTTAGTACAGTAATTATGGAAATTATATCGTTAAATCGTTTCTGTTATTTTTAGCTCCTTTTTATATTATTTAATGCTGTCAACTATTCATGGTTAAATATCTTTCAATTTTTCTAATATACATTAATATTACGTTAACGTTTAGCCCTAAATGTGTGGTTAAATATTACAAAACTCTCAAATATTAAACAAGTTAAATTTAAAAACATAAGAAAGTGTGCTTAACATTTACTTAAGCCCAACATCGAAGTATTATTTTATATAACTGAATATGATTTATCTTATCAAAAAAAAACAATATTTGTAGAGTTATTTAAGTAATATTATTTATATTAAGTAATAATTTGAGAATCTTTATAAATAAGTCATCGTCCTTAGCTACTAAAACCTGGACTGAGACCTCTTAATAAAACCAACAAACTTCCTTTAATAACCAATATACCCCTCCCAGTTAGGGATCTCTTCGTTATCAGCCCTTGAAATCGTTTTGCCCTCCTAATTGCAAAGTATTCGGCTCAACAAACACTTAATTTCAGCAATTTCAATGGCAAATAAATTGAAATTGCGGTGCATTTATTTGCAAATTACATTTGCATTTACACACTTGTACTTTCATGTTAATTAAATTTCACAATTCGGCCAACCAGTGCACTCTCCACCACCTCTCCTCCAGCCCTCCTTCCAATCGAATCATGAAATTCGTCCGTTTGATGATTTCATTTTGCAGCCAAAAGCCTTTAATTGGTTTGGTTTTTGGAATTTTTGGCTAATCATAAATAGAAATTCCTGTCACAACCATTGGTCTGCGGTGTGTCCAAAAGCTGGCAGGTGTAAGCAATTCATTAGCCACGTCGGTTAATAAATAACCGCAGCGATTCCCAAATAGGCTGTAAATTGATTCATCGGCCTGGTCTTGGTTAGAATGGAACGCCGTTCTTAGCCCAGCGACACCCACTAAGAAATTGTGCATTAAGTGAGCTTGACTAGGCAGCGACGAAAGCTCATAACGAGTTTGTTTTACCAAATTCAGAGATGCCAAACCAGTTGAATGGATGAGAAAACACACACGGAGATAAAACACATATAAAACCATGCATAAAAAATAAACCCCAACAAAGCTGAAATTAGATAATATTTAAAGTGATGAGCGCCCCGCCTCGTTGGTGAATATATCTTTATATGGCGGCGACTGTAAGGGGCGTGCAACGCGAAGGAGTTGCAATGTAAATACATTTCAATTATCACCCCGGAGTGGTGTTCCAAAATGTTTGAATTCCATTCGAGAAACGATAATTAATCATACATTACATATAGGCAGGCATATTGCCCAACATCTGTGCGCATCTCTCACAATTATGATGTCTATAAATAGAGAGCGGAGAAAAACCAAAACCAAATGGCTTACAGCAATTGTGGGTGTTCGGCTTTGGGTTCAGCTTCGGCGAAATTAATGAGGCAACCAACTTAAATTATTAATGAATGAATGCGGTCATTGACAAACACACCACAGACTCACACTCTGACATATGTTAATACTTACTTAACATTTTCAATAAATATAATATCGAAAACCAAGAGCAGACATTAATAAAGTAGGCAAATAAATATTCCAATTTCATTATGCGGTTTCGGCTGTTCATTGCAAGTCGAGACCCCAGCTTAGCCGCAATTACTAATTGCGGTTGGCCAAAATGTTCATGAACAGCCAGAGGCTATGGCTTCAGGCAGTCAAGGGGTTAAAGTTCATTATGATTTACCTTTTTATACAAATATATTTCATTTTCCAAGTAACTTTAAAGTAGAGTAGAGAGGGAACTTAATGACATGATTTTCTTAAACAGCCATAAATGACGACAATAGATCAAACCATCCAAGGCACGTCAGCTCGATTATTTAAGAGTTTGTGGAACTGAGGAATTCGCAGAGCACCAATAAGTGAAAGGTTCGTCGAACCGGAATTAGCTCCGGGCCAGATTCGGGCATTATTCAAGCGAACTTGGTGCGGCTGGCGATAAACCAGTCAGGAGTGATAAGCTCGTGCATAGAACATGGCCAGAAACACGTTTAGCCCAGGCCAGTCGAAAATAAAATATTAAACAAATATTTAAAAACAAACAAAGACAAATAATAAGCGAGCTTTGACTCTGGATCGGGCGTATATATAATATATATCAACATTATCTGATGATAACGAACCCAACTGGTTGACAAATAGCTTGCTTGATCCACTTATTAGAATGTCCCTGCGGCGGAGGCGGCGTGGTGGAGATTGTAAGATATACAAATCTGATCCAAGCAAAGCAGATCGAAGTTAATATCTAATTTATTGATACTAGATCAGCCTTTCTTTTTTTGTTTTAGTCGCTTTGCTGGGCTGTTTTGTTCTGAGCGTGTCAACTAATTAAGCAAAAATAAAGCTTAAATTGAATTGGAAACAAGTTCCTCCGGCAAACACTCGTCGTGCTATATCCATCCCCTGGCTTATCCATTAGCATTCGGATAATCGGGTTGGGTTTCGATCGGCTACGATCGCAATCCGGGGCCATTAAAAGCGTATTAATAATGGGCATCGCAGCAAAAAACAAAACGCATTGAGCTGGCGAATTAAATGGTAATTTTTCAAGTTCAGGGCATCCGGTGACATCGATACATCTACATCAGCTTTCAGCTTATGGCTTTCAATTGATTTAAACAGTCTTAATTGTTTTCAATTTGGCTCACAGCCACACACAATGACCACCAATGGCTACCAATGGCCACGGCAGACTTGAACCCGAAACCCACTATTATTACGATTATGAGGCTAATTTCCATCATAATGGATCTCGGCCTGGCCAAGTGCCATAAACCCGTTTCCACACACACTCACACACTCACACTCTAACACACACACACGCTTGGCCATATTTATATATGTTTGTTCGGGCCAGCCAAATGTTGGCATGCAAATGCTGGGGCATTCGGTCGTTGCAAGTGCATCCAAAACAAATGCCCCCTAATTGGTAGCCAGGCCCCAAATTGATTGGGTTACTGGTTTCGGGCTACGGACTATGGACTGCACGGGGTTTCCCTCTGTCATTTATGGCCATTTAATTGGCCATTTCTCGCTGGCCCAAATACACGGACATCCGGCCCCACCGATTGCCTTGCACAACTCAGTTTCAAGTTCAAAGTGCGGTCAATAAATTGTTGCACTTGTTGATGCCGCCGCACTTGTTGATGTTGCCTCTGCCGCTGCCGCCTCGGCTGATTCCATTATGACAGCTCTTCATTGGGCTAACGAAAACAAAATGTCAAATGCTGACTTGACCACTGCTTTTGACCTTGACTGAGCTGCTCTGCTCTGCTTTGCTGAACTCAAAACTGATTATGCATATGAGTGGCTTCAAATGGCTTTGCCAGCCCATCATAAATTCGGCTTATTTCGGCGGCTTTCGCAGGCATTTAGCAAATCCAAATTGATATTGACGGGAATTCAAAATCAAACATAATCTGCAAATTCCCACTTTTATTTGTTGATGTTTAGTTTAGGAGTTAGAAAGTTAAAAAAAGAGAGTTTAGGTAGATGGAATTACAGGGTAATTTAAGGGTAAGCTGATGATAATAAGAAAAATATCAGCAAATATTGATGGAAACTTCAATTTTAAAGCTTAAGAAAGGGTTATTTATAGGAGTTGTTATAATGCAAGATTAGTCTTCTTTCAATTCCCTAGATTTGATTGATATCACAAGTCAAGATGTGAGGGTAAAGCTTAACCTTCTTAGCAAACTTAACAACCATAGATCAGGGTCACCAAAAAGCATCTTTAACCCATCATTTTTGGGCAAAATGAAAGAGTTTCTGTGGCTTAAGCCCCAGAATGGTGTGCTTTTCAAATCACTTCTCTACCCATCACTTATTGTTCACTTAAAATTGGTTTCAAAATACAATAAAACTTATTCTGAGTGTAGAAAAGCCTTGGGCCAAGCATCATACGAGAACATATCTGGTACGATGATGATAAACCTTTTGGGTGGCGAAGTGAAGTCCCAACATGGTTTGCCAGTTGGTTCCATTCGGAATGTTTGCACAGTTGTTAGTGCTCAGCAGTGCAGTGCAGTCGAAATCCCACCCACTCCCACTCCCACAACCAGCCAAAAGCAGTGCGTCAAGTGGCACATGGCAACCTGCAAGCAGGAACCTGCAACAAGCCGCAAAGCCGGTTCATCTCGCATTTCGCAGGGCAACCTCCGAGTATTTAAGCCCCTGAACATCCTTTTCAATGGCTCTCGGACGCCTGGGAAAAAAAACTATGTAAGAGGCAAGAACTAGTTTAAGCCCCACGAATGCAAACGCACTTTGCCAGTGAGTATGCTTGCAACCATCCAGCAGCTGCTTGTCTAATATTTTTTTCAAATTTCATTTTCCTACCAAGCTGCCAGCTTGTGTGTTTATTTGGATTAAGCTATAAATGTTTTTTATGCATCGGGCCAAGGAACATGGAAAGATACTTATGAAAAACTTGTGTCTATATGCCTTTGCTCTCTTCTCAGGCTTAGCAGTCGTTTTTCCTTTTTTCGCTTTTAATTAAAGTCGAAACATTAATTTGATGCAACTTGGTGAGATCCAGAAGTGAGATGGAAAGTCGTAAGTAAGTCGCTGCTACTCACTTGAAGATATAATTACTGGGAAATCGTAAGGAACA